TTGGGTCACATGTGACCCAAAAATACATTCTAATACAACCAAAAGTATACAGACAACTCTTACCTCTGTTCAGAGTAACTCTGGAAAGCCCAAAGTCTGTCAACTTTATATGGCCCTGATTAGAAATGAGCATGTTGTCTGGCTTCAGATCCCTGAAAACATGAATATAGTTGAAGTCAGCAAAAAGACCACTGAGCAACATTAAGAAAGTCAAGTGATCAGAAACACTCAATACAAAACATTGGTTATAGCTGTTTCTCAGTAACATCTCTTACCCAGCAGAAGATTCCAATTAGAGGAATACACCAAAACAACTAAACATATCTAGCACTAAACATGGTATGAACATCTCAGGCCTTGTAAAACCTCTATGCATGTCACCAAGAGCTGCACATTTGTGTTTCAGCAGGTTTAACAAATGTTTTTCCTGAGTACCACTATCATAACACTTACTAATGTGCAGCTCCTACAAGTGACAAGCAAACCTCTAGTGACAGTTTTCAGGTGTGTTCTCCGTACCACTGCTGAATGCAAAAAGAACTCTCACTACAGGGGGAGTGTTTGGGTAGTCAGTGTCCCTTTGTCCACAGTTACATGTTTGCAGTACCCAGAGGTTTCCTGAACTAACACAGCTGCTGATACACCTCTGGACTGGGAAAGAGCAGGCAGGGGAGAGCAGTGTGTATTTATCTGCTCAGCACATAAGGATAGATTTTATTTTAGGAGTTGTTTCATGACATTGCTGCAGTACACACACGCAAAAAGAGCTTCCAGAAGCTCTAGCAAATGAGGCAGCTGTGGTAGCTGTTACAATACAATGGTGATTGTTTACGTGATAGAGTGAAGAAATTAAAAACACAAACTACCAAATACTTATTTGTAAGAGAAAAAAAAATTTACCTGTGGATTATCCCATGCCTGTGAAGATAGTCAAGGGCCAATGCTGCTTCAGAAATATACTTAACAGCCATTTCTTCATCAAAATATCCATAAATATGGAGAAGAGATTTGACATCTCCACCAATAAGGTACTCCATCACCTGCCATTCAACCATTTTAAATTTAAAATACATTTCAAATTTGCAAGTATCAAAATACAAAATAGCTTTCACCCATAGAAAAATATTATTTCAAGGAGCAGAAGCTGATATAAGCTGGCTTGTGCAAACTTGATTTCCACACAATACTTTTCACTTGATGAAATAATTAAGGCTTCAAATGACAGAACATGAAACATTTTCTTTTAATAGATCATTTGCTTATTTTACTTGCCTAGGCTTCTCTCAGAAGTTAATTTAAAAGCTGACTACAGTAGTTATTTCAGAGTTGACTACAGAAAGAGTTCTATATTATAGAAAATGAAATGCAGAGCATTCCTGTGAAACTCAAGGCCTGAAGCCAAAGACCACTGATAACCTGTTCTATACAAATCAAAGTATCTCAATATTTGATTTTGCAAGTATTTATACACAATACTAAATTCAGACCTGAGCCTTGCGAAATAAGAACAAATTGCCAGAAATGTATACAGTGACAGCTACTGTGCATTTAAGAACACACACATCCAAAAAACATTATGCAAACAGAGACATTATTATGGCCCAGGTCATAGTCAAGATGAAAGACAGCAGGGCTTCAGAAACTCACTCTTTGAAGATAAGAATGGGGTTTTGGTCAGGAAATCTCACCAGTACTTAGATTCCAATATACAATACTCTACCATATATATATACACACATACACACAGTCACAGACATGACTAGCATCTCCTTCACAAGTCCTTCACCCTGAAGTCCTCTATTGCATGCAGCAGTTCAGAGATTCCAGAAAAAGAAGCCTTTGTTTACACTCCAAATGCATTGTAGGAGGAGTGCATAGCAACCTCCCCTCAGAATTTCAAACTGTTGGCTGTGTGTGCATACAGCAATCGAGACAAATCATGCCAGACCCTTTGCAGACAGCCTGAATCCATAGGACCTTACGTGGAGGTCCTCATACACAAGTCCTACTGTGCTCCACAGTGCTTCATGTAGACTAGCACTTGGTTTTGCCACTCAGTCATCTTCTTGTCATGTAGGCCAACTACCACAATGAATTTTGAGCACAGGTAACACGTAAAACAGATTTCCTTTAAGTGAGCCATGGAGAGTCTTTCAGTCATTTGGATTTTGCTTGAATAGAATGGTTTCTTGTTTTCCCTAAGATTTCTACATATTTCTAAGACATATTAGCTATTAGAAAAGCTTCTCCTGTAAAAAAGGGGAATGTGGGTGAAAAGGTATCAGGGGAAGAGAAATATTTTACTTGTTGAACCATTCTGACAAAGAAGAAAGTAAAAGTGACTAAGGAATACCCACTCATTACCATAAAAATATGTTTCTAGATATCACTACAGTTCACACTCCATTTTCAAGACAATCATAAAAGACCACAGAAATTTTTTTACTCACTAAGTAGATGTTATTAGCTGACTGAAGTGAGTAGTATAAGTGCACAATGAAAGGACTTTTACTGAGAGCCAATGCATCCCTCTCTGCCTGGACCTGGTGAACCATGTTTTTGTTGATCATGTCTGCTTTTTTCATCACCTGAAAAACAAAACAAAATCAAGTAGACAAACATTCTTTAATTTGCTCAACCTGTAGTTCTTCAGCCAATTAATTTATCTATATACTTAAAACTTGCATATATAAAACAGATCTGTGACTTCATATACAGAGAGAATTTTAAACAACAGGTTATTAGACAACCATTTCCACTGTTCTAATTCAGTCCTGAATGGAAATGACACTACCAAGATTTACCGCAATTGCACATGCTGGAAAATAAGTGTTTAGGCTGCACATGAAATTTAGCTGCACTGAATTAACCCTCTTATCCACAGTACACAACTCAGAACCATGAAACTGTTCAACACTTAGATTGGCACTTGCTGACCAAGTCTTTCTTCAGAAGCTGAGATATAAGACCAGAGACTGGTCTTATATCTCAGTAAGCCATCCCATCTTAGTATCCTCAAGTGCAAGACTGCAACTATTCCAGCCTCTAATTCTTAACTTTGCAGATGTTATAGGTAAATAAACCAAATCAAAATTTAGCAGCAATATTTATTATGAGATTTATAAAGTGCAGATAAGCAAACCAGCGCGCTGGGTGGCGTGAGGAGACCCCTGCTCCTCACCAGCCCCACACCCAATAAAGCAAACAGCAACTTTTTATGCCCTTCCAACCCTTCCCCCATAGTCACTTGTTAGCTCTTGATTGGACCTAATTTCGCGGGCCTTGTTCTGGTTGGTTCTGTTGCAGGCCCATTTCGACTGCCAGGGACTTTCCATCAGTACTTTCCATCAATAGTTTTTAATTAGTCCAATGTCCTTGGAGCTGACTATAGGAGGATGTCCAGACGATCCAGATGTCCTTCTTGGCTTTTCTTGGGTGCTTCTTCTCCTTGACCCTCTGATCCTTGTTTCCCTTCTTTTCCTAAGGAGTGTACTCACACAATATTTTTAGCAAGGCAGGATATCATATATGTGCTCAATAAAGCAGAATATTATCTTTGCCAACTTGGGAACTGCCGGTTGCAGGACAGTCAACTAATAATAATACAGCAGTTAACTATTCCGCAGCTTACAATTCCCCAGTTCTAATCAAGCATGAGCTATAATATACAAAAGAATACAATATATATTTTGACAAGTAAATTTTACTATTGTGTACTTATTACACAGAGAAAGCAAGAAAATTGTAAATTTTAAATTAAAAAAAAACCTAAGTCACACAAAAAAATATTTGTTTCTTTGGGAAGAAGCCTCAAAGGCAAGCAACTCATCACAAAGAAATAACAAGCTTAATTGTGATTTAGGCTCCAATTCCTGCTTTGAATTACTCCACTCTATGACAAGTTCAGTCAATATTAACCCTGAACAGAAGATGCACAATAGCACAGCTGACAAGTATTTAGGCAAGCATGGCATATACATTAGAAGTTTGCCCACCCACATCATCTTTTTCACAGATACATATGGTGATAATAAAGCAAGTTTAATTTATCCATTCTCTATGCAACATAACTGTAAAAAGTTGAGTCTGCTCAAATTTGATACTTTCTATGTAAATGTTGACCTTAGGTGTAAAAATATTTAGCATATATTAAATTCAGTAGTTTGAATAACCCATAAGTCTCTCTGCAGTACAGGTAAAGGATTTCCACAAAAGCTTTTAGGTCACAATACTTTCAATAAAGTAGAGTATGATACTAAAGTAACACAATTGAACCACTCTATATGCAGCACCTAAACCACAGAAAATTACTTTCCATAGCTATCATCACTATTATCAAAGATGATAACATAAAAATTCCAAGACATCCACAGAATGCATAAAATTACACTTCTAAGAACTATTGGCCTTAATAAACATTTAGCACATATTAAATGTTGTAGTTGTGAACTAGTCATAGACCTCACTGCAGTAATGATAAAGAATTTACACAAATGCGTTGATCTCAAAATGCTTATAACAAAGTAGTGTAAACAGACACATATAGCTCTGAAGAGCAACATCTATTTTGCATGAGTAGCTTTACGTTTCCTCTTCTTTGTGTACTACGCAGGTTGTCATAATCCTTTTACTCACAAAGTCAGGCACGCACAAATCACCGGTAAAGTTTTTACTGCTGACAAACCTAGATCTTAGCCCTTTGTGTATAAACTTAGAAAACACGACAGGGTTTTTGTTTGTTTGTTTTTTAATGCGTACTCAGCAACAACGTTTTTTATGATTTGTTCTCGTCACGCATCTCAGAGGCGGTGCTCTCAACCCGGGCAACCGCGGCAGCTGAGGGTGCTCAGTTACGGCAGCTGTTCACAAGGGCGAAGCAAAGCGCTTGGCGAGGCTTTTCGCGCAGTTCCCTCGGCTCTTAAAGTACCTCTAAAAGCAGCTGTCATTACCAGAGCCCCCCTGACCGAAACCTCGGAGCCGCGATGAGGGCTGAGCACAGCCCTGCGGACGGCGCGAACCCAGGCACCAGGCAGTGCCCGAGAGCAGCTCCCCGAGAGCCGGAGCCCCGGCTCCCCCCGAGAGCCGGGGGGGCTCCCACGGCGTCTGCTCCCCCCGAGAGGCGGGGGGCCCGTGCTGAGGGCCCGGCGCCTCCCTGCCCCGCCGGGACGCCCCCTTTCCACACGGGGTTACTCGTGAGCGGAGCCGGCAACGCCGCGACCCCGGGCGACCCCTTACCTTCACGGCATAGAGCCGGCCCGCCTTGCGGCCCAGGTACACCTTCCCGAAGGCGCCGCGGCTGATGGGCTTCACGATGGTGAACTCCTCGATGGAGGGGGGCCGGGGAACCTCGACGCGCCTCGGGCCGGCGGCTGTGGTGGCGGCGTCGCCCCCCGGCTCCTCGGGCCGCTCCGTCCCCATAGCGCACCCCGGCCCCAAGCCCGCCGCGATTCAAAGCGGCGCCGGCCCCGCCCCGCCCGCGCCGTCACCAACGGGCCCACGGGCGCTCTCGCGAGACCCCGCGCTGTTGTGCGCGGAGATTGAAAGCAGCCCCACAGCACCCGCCCCGCGGGGGTTTTAGGACAGTGACCGACTACCAGAGCTGTCATCCGGCTAATAACTGCTCGGTTTGTCATCTCGGTTTCCACTTTGGAAACTCCACTTACCATGAGCAGGCAGACCGCCCATTCTCCATGGGAAGCTTGAAAGTGTAGCAATTCAACAGAACTTGGTGTGAGACCTTAAAGAACTGGAAGATAATATTTATTTAGAAAGAAGCAACTGAATTTGGTCCCACGTACTCATTTTCTCGTGTGCTTCACTCACATCTGAGTTTGAGAGGCGTTCGGACGACACTCACTCACACAATCACATGGTGTGATTCTTGGGGTGTCCTGCGCTGGGCCAGCAGTTAAACTCAACAATCCTGTTGGGTCCCTTCCAATTCATGATATTCTATGATTCTATGATTTTCTCACACTTGCATACTTGATAGCTCCAAGAGCTGTGTCCAAATGGCACAACCAGGAGGGCTTGTGTGTCAGAGAACTCAACCCATCCTGTCCTTACTGTCTCCTGGGCAGGTCTTCTGTGATCAGGAGTTAGATTAATGTGTTCTGTTGCTTCCCTCTAGTTCCTGATTACTTCAGCTGCTATTTATCTTGGGCAAGGTTGCTCCGCGTTTTATTTGTGTCCTTTCTTTGGATATCTCCATGGCTACCATTCTGCCTCCCTGTTGTGACAGCAGGGGCAGGGATGGCATTTACAGTGTGCTCTGACCTTGTTGCCATTCCCCTGTTCTCAGAGCTAGGCCTTCTGACAAACCATCTGTGTTAGCGCTTTATCAGAGCACAGGCCGCCTGTTCTGTTTACACAGCACAGCCCTAGGTGTTTACCAGTTTTACTGCACTCAGTTGTGTTTTTGGTTGTTTTTTTAACTCTTGCCTTACTGCCTTTATATTGCTTTCACATATACATTGCTGTTCATGTTTCATTCACACCGATCTTAATTGTTCTGTTGCAGTCTGCAGCAGCAAAGAGCTATTGCTGCAGAGGTCAGTGCAGAACTTGGGGTCTTTATTAACACAGTAGATTAGTCATCAGGCCCTTGTTTTGCTCTAAGACACATCACTTATAATCTGATACTGCACAGGGAGGCCATGTACTTGTGAAGGAGAGCTGCTATCCCACAGATTCCAGCAGTACATGCAATTTAATGAGCAAATGTAGAAAATGTTTTCAACTAGCTTTCTGTAATAGTATTAACTACAATCTATCATTGTCTATGTTTGTCATTTAATGTTAGTTTAGCTGTGTCTCACCGCCCCGATGCCAGCAGAGAAGCCCAACTGAGAGCAGGAGGGATTGCTCCTTGTGCTGGTATCCTGTGCCAATAGCAGGCTATGCCAGCTGTGAAACTGCATCAGGCAGTGCATATTCTGGTACAGCCTGAGCTCCTCGGAAAGAGGGCCTACGCCTTCTCTCCTTTCCCTCAAGGCACCACGAGTCATTGCACAGCTATGTGACAAACTTCTTCATAGGGTGGATCCAGGTAAATGTTCATCAACTTTTAGGGTTTTTGCTGTTGCCAGGTGAGGTTTCTGCCAAATCAGCGAGCTGAGCCACATGATTGTGATCACAAGAGTGGTAGTGGAAAACAGAGGAGATGTACAGGAAGGCGGAGGGAAGCAGCACTGTGGCTGTGCTCATCCAGATCAGTGTAAGCTGGTGTGGGATAGCACTTTCAGTCAGGAAGAGTGGTCAGGTGAAAGAAAGAAAATGGTTATAAACCCCCAAAATAATTGGACAGCACATGGAAAAAAATGCACAAGGCATAGAAAAAGGATAAATATTAAAGACCAAATTCTGCCTAACATGTAGGTCCATATTAACTGAATGCAAGTAACAGTACTGGGGTTACTGATGCTGTCGCTGAAAAAATGGGAAACAAACTCTTAAGCAGTTTGTTAGATTAGAAAGTAGACATCACTTTAATCAGCGCTGAAGGCACATGGGGATGGCTCCACAAAACATGTACATCAGTTATCCAAACTTTTGACTATTTAAACGTTTTAGCAAACAAAGGAATTAGTGTTCATCGGTTACAAGTTACATAGTTCTCTTATTAATTAGTATTTTAGCTTCTATTGATTAATGATTCTCTCACTTATGCTCATTAGTCCCCATGCTCAGTTTTTTTCTTTAGGGTCTGGGGAGGGGTTTACTTGGGTCAGTGGTCTGTGGGTCAGCGGTCAGGGATGCCCCTTCCAGAATTACCTTTTACCCACTTGGAGCTGAATTTCAGCACAATTACTGAGTTAGTTTTATTAGTTTCTTCCTTATCGTAGGAGTCCTGCCAGTTGTCCTGGTTGCTCATAACTTCCGCGTTCTTTCATGTTCATTATCAGTGGTACATCCCTCTTCCCAAGCCACGCTAATTTCCTCCTCCAGGTCTGAGCACATCAAAGCATGTCAAGCCCTAACTTTCTTCTAACACGTGGACATAGAGCTTGCTTGTTAGCCGCTATCTGTTTCACGGATTAAATCTCCCTTACTGTTGATTAAGCCCTAATATTTCGCCCCGCCGCTGCACAGGCTCCCTTTTTAAAGAAACACAACTTGTTCGGCAACAATACATATTTTAATGTGTAAAATTTTTCTACGCGCGCGGCACACCCTTAACTCCCTACGGAATGTTTTGGGTGCTGAAGGAAGGCACGCTGAGCAGAGCCCGTGAGGGACGTGTTTCGAGCGGCGGCCCGGAAGCTGTTCCCGCTGCGCCGCTTCCGGGGCGGGCGGGCCCGGTCAGCGCGGCCGCGGGCGGACATTTCCCGCAGCGGGGCCGCTCCTGCTCCCGGCGGCGGCTCCCGCGGCTCGGCTGGGCGGCGGGAGAGGCGCTGGTGCCCGCCGTCCCCACCGGGACGATGTTCTCCTTCTCGACCGTGCAGCCGCAGGTGAAGGGCTGGCGGGGCGGCCCCGGCCCGGTGCGGGGCCCGCGCTCCGGCGGGCGGGGGCTCGTTGCGTGTCCGGGCGGCGGCGCTCGGAAGGCCCGGGGGCTGCGGGGCTCGGCTGGAGGAGCCACGTTCCGGGGGATTGGGTGCGGGGGGAGCAGCGGGGAGAGGAGCGGGTGGGGGCCTGGGATCCTCACCTGGGAAAAAGTAAACGGAGGAGAGAGAGGGAGGTACAGTAAAAGCTTGTGAAGAGTAAAAGCCTTCTGAAATGACGAAACAGCCGGAGATGGCGCTTTTTAGTGTCTGCACTAGAAGCGAAGGGTGGTGGTGTGTGTAACTACAGTTAAAGTTAAACGGTGCTGATAATTGTCAGGTGGTGTTGTGAAAACGGAAAAGAAACGACATGAAAGCGTTAGTGGAGAAAAACCCCGTCAATAGTTTATTATATAGAACAGTCTGAATGCAGTCGGGAAGGCATCTGTTATTAGACAGTGAGTCTGATGGGACTGGTGAGTTTTGTGGACTTTGATCTGAACCACTGGTTTTACTTTTATATTATGTGTTAGGGGGATTAGTGTGTGATGGTCTTATTCCACAGTAGGATTTGATTGTTCTTTTCAGATGTGGGGAACGTGTTAATAGCTTTTGTTAGTGTAGTGAAGTGGAAGAATTTGTATGTTTCTAGGACTGTGTAATTTCACCATAGTAGCAAATGCAGGAGGAAAGTTAGTGGTTGGGATGTTGACTCTGACCTCTGGACACTTTATGGTTTTACTGTAAACTCCCAGAACTTATTTATAACTTTGGACAATTAATTATGAGGCAGTTTTCATCTCTTGTAGCATTGCCTCTCTAGTCAACACAGAGATGGAAGTTCTTGCAGAAGAATATTCACAGGCATACCTGATTATGCTTGTCAGATATCATTCCAGCAGCCACAGTTGCACCTCGGCTCATTTTAGTGATGTGTACTGAGACTTTGGAAGTGTTGGAATTATTTGTACCATATATTCACAGGAGATGTGGTCATGTGCTAGAGGAGGAGCCCTGATAAGTGGTGCACCTGGGCTTCTGCACTGATTCACAAGGTGGAGTCGGCTGAAAGCTGCTGAACTGCAGATTTGACTGTCTATGTGTATATTAGATGTGTTGCTTAAGTGAGCTCCCGAGGAAGAAAACATAAAGGCAGCTTTTGGGAATAACTCGTATAATGCAGGAAAAGTACAGATATTTCAAGTTCTAGAAGTATTACTTTATAGATGAAAATAGGTGCTGTTTGGAAAACAATACAGGAATCAATAGTACTTTAAAAAAGTGTTCTCTAAATTAGTAAAATGTTGATTAAGCCTCATGATTTAAGGATATTCAAAAGCAGCCACTGAGCTTTCTGTTCAAATTGTTTCAAGGGGAACCAGCTGGAGGGGGTCTCTTTGTTTTTTGTAACTACACATTGAGGGCAGTCTTTGTATCTCCTAACTGTTGATGAAATGTATTTGTGTATTTGCAAACCTAGTATTCTTTAAACTAAGCTTATGTTTGGAAACCAGGAAATACAGCCCATTTTGTTTTTTCTTTCCTCTTCCTAGCTTTGTGAGCGTCTAATCTGTCGTGTGCACTTAAACTTTCTTTTTTTTTCCCCCCTTTAAATAGAGGTATCAGCTAACACTGGGGTGTTGAAGCTGAAGTCCTTAGTTAAAAGGCAGTGTACAAGATACACAGTTATAAGTCGGGGTTTGGAATAGAAATATGTTTAAATAGTTTAAACAAGGTTAAATCATTATCTGTTTTTTTTTCCCCAGGCTACTGTTCCTCTGAGTCACCTTATCAATGCCTTTCATTCACCAAAAAGTTCCACTACTACTGCCAGCAAAGCATCCCTACAGCCTGTCCAGAGGGACACCTCCCCAGAGCATGAGGCTCAGAAGACTGAGGTACTAAAAAGCTTTAGAAAAAGTGATGTTTTGCTTTGAAATAAATTAAATCTGAATAATACCAGTT